TGGCCTCTACTGTGGGGCGCTGGGGAGCACTTGGCCCTTGGTCCAGAGAGGGGCACTGGCACTGGATGCTTGTCTTTCCTCCTGGTAGGCCCAGACTTTCCTCACATCTCTAGCTTGAGTCCTATCCCTCCTCTGAGCCTGAGTTTCTCCCTTAGTGTGGATACCCTCTGTCAGGGTATCTGCCAGCCTCACCCCACAGCTGATGAGAAGGTGTCTGTGTGTCCAAGACCAGAGCTTTGAGGATTCAGAGCATGAGGGTAATCTTCTGGGGGCGGCATGTGGGGCTCCATGTCCCTTCTCCCTGCCTCCACAGGCGGGAAGGTCAGGGAGACTCCCTTGAGCTCAGAGCTCTGCCCAGCCCACACCTCTCGGGGCAGGGCGGGAGCCATCTGGGTTAATGAGGTGCTAGCAGGTGCATCCTCATTAGCCCAGGGTCAGGGAGAGGAGGGGAACCTGAGGGTTTGAGCTGGGAGGTGCCGGGGCATGTGAGGCAGCTGAAACCAGGAGGCCAGGCCACTGGGCACAGCTGCCAGTGCCGCAGACCAGGACTGATGCCCTCCTCCCCTTTCCTGCTTCCCTTCTCCCTCCCTCCCAGCCTTCCTTCCACACTTACACTGACAGTGTTCATCTGTGCAAGAAGGTATAGAAGGGAGTGTATAGAGCAATATATTCTCAGTATGAGGATTAGTCCTATTCCTTGTGCAAGAGACAGTCCCTGGCCTCCAGGCGGCTACAGATAACGGAGAGACGGATGGATGGTGAACAGAACACTGATCTATACGTCATACATATAACGAATGAGCCAAGAGCTACGGAGGCTCTTTGGGGGGGACTAATAGCTACATGAAGGAGCCAGGGAAGCTGCATAGAGGAGGTGAGCTTTGTACTGGGACTTTAAGGATGAGTAGGAGTTTGCAGCGCAGAAAAGGACGAAAGGGCATTTCTGGAGGAGGGAACAGCGTGGACAAAGACCCAGAGAAGTGGAGAAGCATGTGTAAAAAGAAAGGGGGAGGAACACCTGGGTGGTTCCATCAGTGAAGCTCCTTCGACTCAGGTCATGATCTCACGGTCCTGATCTCATGGTCCTGAGTTCGAGCCCTGCATTGGGCTCATTGGGTTCATGGGGCTTGCAATGCCTGATGTGGGGCTCAAACTCACGACCATGAGATCATAACCTGAGCTGAAATCAAGAGCCAGATGCTTAACCCACTGGGCCACCCAGGCACCCCTAACAGATACCACTCTTATTCTGCCCAATACTGTCACTATTGGATATGCCCATGTCCCTCACTAGACTCCAAGCTCATTGAGAGCTGGCCCCCAGCCTAGGGCCTGGCACAGGACTGGCATCTAGTATCTGTGGAATTGAACTGCATTGATTCTCTAGAGGATCCAGATGGAATCGAGTTGTGGGTAGACTCGCCTACTGTCATCTCTCTACCTCTGCTCAAAGGAACCACCTTTGTTTTTTAAATAACTGGGATTCTGGGGCGCCTGGGTGGCGCAGTCGGTTAAGCGTCCGACTTCAGCCAGGTCACGATCTCGCGGTCCGTGAGTTCGAGCCCCGCGTCGGGCTCTGGGCTGATGGCTCAGAGCCTGGAGCCTGTTTCCGATTCTGTGTCCCCCTCTCTCTCTGCCCCTCCCCCGTTCATGCTCTGTCTCTCTCTGTCCCAAAAATAAATAAACGTTGAAAAAAAAATTTAAATAACTGGGATTCTGTCCTAACTTCAGTTTGGCATTCCTGCTCCATGACTGTAGCTTCAGCATTTCCTCGCTGCTTCTTCTAAAGGTTCCTGTCTCATTAGGACAAACATACCATGTAAGTTTCACCTTGCACATCACTCCTGATGGGTTAGTACTGGTCGCCCTAGCATATTATGCCAAGAAGGATTCTGTGGATGATGAGGGCTCAGAATAAAGAGCCCTATGATGGCTTAGCAACATTTGCCATGTGAGGAGGCACGGCTCCCTCTGCCTTCTGTTTATCAGATACTTTTCTTACGTGAAGTCAAGACTGGGGCACCGTGAGAGTCTGGAGACTTTCCCTCTGGTGGAAGCCAAGGGAGGAGAGGGAGCAGAAGAGGAGCTGAGGGCTCCAAAGGTATGTTTATCATCTTGAGGTTTCCTAGAGCAGTCAACGGTCTGTGCTCTTACGTGATCAGTCCCCAGAGCTGGCTGTGGACTCTTAGCAAGACCAATAGGGCCTCGTGGCTCGGGATGCCCAGCAGGTTCCTCAGCAGGTGAACCCAAGGCAATGGCCCTGAGTTCCCCATGTGTGGGAATGTTCCCAATTCCTCTCTCCTCCTAGGCAGCTAAGGCTTCAAGAATGATAACAATGTATCAACATGTAGAGATATTTTATTTCCCCTCTATCTTTGCTGCATTGCACCCGGGGGCCATGGTCTCCTCTAGTGGCATCCCCCCAAAATGCTATGAGATTTGACTTGGTTTCTGGGGCCAGGAGTGGACAGGCCCCCAAGCCCTGCCCTTTTCCATTTGAATAGGACCCATGTAGTCTTGCAATCCAACAGTCCTCCTCATGTAAGAACACTGGCTAATGACCTTGACAGATAGCCCCATTATCAGTCTCTACCTGATAACCTCCAGTAATGCTGCTTCTAGATTCTGTGCCTTTGTTCAAGTGGTTTTGATTAGTGGAGGTGTGCTCACTTCCTTCAAGCCCCCTTCCTCCCAGGAATCACCTGATTTCCTTCCTCAGGTCTATACTGACAGTGGGTCTCCACCTCTTCGGCCCAGGGTAACTCAAAAGTACTTGTAATTGTGAAATTTAAGGCTCTC